ACAGTTCTGGAGGTGGGGAAGTTCAAGATCAAGGCACCAGCTGGTTCATTGTCTGGTGAAGGCTGCTCTCCCCTTCCATCCAAGATGATACCTTGTTGACGAATTATTTGGAGGAGAGGACTGGAAGGAATGCTGTGGCCTCACATGAGAGAAGGCAAAAGGGCAACAGGGCCAAACAGGCATGAAGGCTGTTTTCCTTTTTCTTTCTTTCTTTTCCTTTTTTTAGAGATGAGACAAGGTCTCACTATGTTAACCAGGCTGGTCTCAAACTCCTGAGCTCAAGTAATCCTCTCACCTCGGCCTCCCCAAGTGCCCAGGATTGCAGGCATGAGCCACCATGGCTGGCCTTTTATTTATTTATTTACTTTTTCCATAGAGATAGGGTCTTGCCACATTGTCCAGGCTGGTCTCAAACTCCTGGGCTCAAGTGATCCCCTGCCTCCTCCTCCCAAGGTACTAAGATTACAGATGTGAGCCACCACACCCAGCTTGAAGTCTCTTTTATAAGGGCCTTAATCCCATTTGTGAGGAAGGAGCCTTAATGGTTAAGTTGAAACTTAACCATAAGTTTCAATAGCGGAATTTTGGAGGGGACACATTCAAACCATAGCACAGACTGTCCAGGGCTGACCACAATCAGCTATGGCCTGTGGCAGAGCCCTGTGGACACCGGGTAAGTGCCCATCCTAGACATTTACTCCATCCTTCCCACAGGTGCTGAAGTCCACAGGGGATGTGGCCGGAGGGCGGGCCCTGTACGAGGGGTATGCGGCAGTCACTGATGCGCCCCCGGAGTGCTTCCTCACCCTCAGGGACACGGTGCTGCTGCGTAAGGAATCTCGGAAGCTCATCGTTCAGCCCAACACTCGCCTTGAAGGTAATGGACTCTTGAGCTCCCTTAATGAGCACCACACAGGGCCCTCTGGGAAGCAATAAGAACCCATCCCAGGGCTCAGGGAGAGCAGCCTGGGATGGCCCTTCCCTTTCTGCCAGGGTCCTTCCCATGCCAAACCTCAGGCCCTAATCTTGGTATCGGTCACCACCCACCACCCCCCCGACACACACACAGTCATGCGAGTTGTAAGACAGTGACAGAAGATTTGAAGAATACCACCAGAGCAGGGGATAGCAGAACATGCAGACTTAGGGGGAAGCCAGGCATTTGTACCAAAGAATTAGACCTGTTGGGTACCCAGGCTGGGGGTCAGGTCAGGAGGGAGCTGGGACCCAGCAAGCCTAGTGAAACCCAGGGGACAGTGTGACTTGGTCGCATCTGGGATGGTGATCAACAGCTGCATCATCCCTCTTCCTTCTCAAGTGACAATTCCGGAGCCTCGCCCTGGCCACAAGGTGCTTATATCTTTTGAATTCAAACCCCCTGGGGACCCAGCCCCTGACTGCCTTCACTTTCCTCTCACCCCTTGATTCATCTTTCCTGCTGCTTGTCACTTGAGACACCTAAGATGATGTGGTGTTATGGAGTGGTTAGAGCACCAGCTTCAGAACTGCCCTCTGACCTTGGCCTAGTCATTTGACCTTTCTAGACTTTGGTGTCTTCATTCACAAAGCCAGTGTGGACCGCTTGCTGATATTATAGTGAACCTGAATTCCTTCTTAGAGTTTCTAAGTGCTTTCTGGGGATTAACCTTTTAAATCCGCACAGTAGCCCAATAAGGTAGGTATTTTTGTTATCCCCATTTTACAGGTATGGAAACTGAGGCACAGAGAGTAATTTGAGTAATTTGCACAAGACTTATGCCTTTTTAGTGGAGAAGCCAAGAGTCAAATTAAGAGTGGTTGAGTCAGGCATGGTGGCCCCTGCCTGTAGTCCCAGCTACTTGAAAGGGTGAGGTGGGAGGATCGCTTGAGCCTAGGAGTTCAAGACTGCAGAGCAAGACCTCAACTCTTCAAAAAAAAAAAAAAAAAAAAAAGGCAGCATTGTCCTGGGTAGTTCTGAGGGTTAAATAGAATAATATTTGTAAAAAGTCATTACCTATTATTGGTGAGGAAAAAGCATTTATTTATTTGTTTTTTGGGTGGGTTTTTTTTTTTTTTTGAGATGGAGTCTCACTCTGTCTCCCAGGCTGGAGTGTAGTGGTGCAATCTCGGTTCACTGCAGCCTCCGCCTCTGAGTTCAAGTGATTCTCCTACCTCAGCCTTCCGAGTAGCTGGGATAACAGGTGCCTGCCACCAC